TTCGGAACAACGTAGGTCTAAGGATAAAAGCTTTTCTGCTTTATACAAAACAGAAAGCAAAGTGCTTTTTACAAAAGGACAATAATTACTGATTTATTTTAAGTTCTTAAGTATTAGGCCGATGGAAATATTTCTAGAATTTGTGGGACAAATACATTGTATGCCTCAATCACTGACATATAGAAGTATTGGTTTGGTTTGGTTTATTTTGTTTTACAACTTATCAACCTCAATGGGTTATTTAATGCCGACAAGATTTTGTATTGCTGGGAAATTTTTCTATCTATCTATCTATCTATCTTAGTATATATTGGTTTGGTTTATTTTGTTTTACAATTTATCAACCTCAATGGTTTATTTAATGCCGACAAGATTTTTACAATAGATTCTTTATAAAGAGATTTGTGGATCCGGTTTCATTTATATATTTTTGCAAAGAGGGTTGTTGTCGGGAGTAGGATTAATATTATATTACAGTTCAACATTTTTCTTTCTCTCCTCTCTCTCTTAATTCTTTGCTTAGCTTTTGGAAGACATCTTTCGCTATCCCAATGCTTTGTTTAGCTACCGTGTTGGGTAGTTAACAATGTGCATTATTTTTCCATGAATAATTTTAAACCGATTTTCAAATTTTACATGTTTTTTAATATGTTGATATTTGTCTTCGTTTTAAACAAGAAAAAAATGTAATTTGCCGTGTGTTTAACAAATTAGATTCGGTGCGAATTGGAAGGATTCAATTCATGCTGTATCGCTGTCTTTCTGTCGTTGGCATTTAAAATCATCTGAACCATTGTTAATGAAATTGAGATTGTTAATAGCTTTTAAAAGCCCAGTGGCTAAATGCTGTCAAAATAAGTGAAATTCAAGGTCTTAATCCACTGCGCATGATCGGAAAACGTGAAAGCCAAGATGGGCGAATAGAAGAACATTGAATCACTTCCATGAAAACAGAGGTTGCCAAAATTCCCTGAAAAGAAAATCGTCTCATTGTAACATTTGGGGGGGAGGGTTTTTACTTCGAGATGTAATATACTTGTAATGTAATGTATCTATTTCTTAGCTAAGTTCAATCACTCTTAGAGTAAGTCCAGCTGCAGATTACCACTGTATTTTCACAGACGACCGCTAAATACGGCTTCTGCTGTCTCAGTATTTACCCAAAACCTTCCCACAAGACGAGATATGGCACAAGGCTCTTTTTTTTTTAACGTAGGGCGATTCCAAGCCCGTAAGCTCAGGCAAAAACTGCCCGTAGACCAGGTATACACGAGGTCGGGTAGCTATCTACCTCCCCAGACGAGACTCTTTCCTTCAGCATAGCCTCGGCTGGGTTCCTCTCCGCCTATAGGCAGGGAGGTCAACAGTTTTTATTGTCTCAGTATTTACCCAAGACCTCTCCACGAGGCCAATTTTTTAACGTGGGGCGCTTCCGAGCCTGTAGGCTCGGGCAAAAAAATGCTCGTAGACCCCGTATACATAGGGTCGGGTAGTCGTCTCGTCTGTGTTCCTATCAGCCCGGAGGCGGAGAGGTCGACAAGCAGAGTATTAGCAAGCACAGAGGTTTTACTGTATCCCCTAGTCTCGCGTTCCGTTCTCCCATTTATACATGTGTGGGCGAGTCCACCTCGTCTTTTGCCCTATATCATCATCATCATCATCATCATTAATAATAATTACAATAATAATAATATCAGCATCATTATCACCATCACTTTGATTTCTGCTTTCTACACATTTCCTTCTGGGTCCCAACCAGAGACCTAAGCTCAGAAATGGTTTCGTGATATTTACCACCGATCATTTTTGAAAAAGAAAAACCTAAGATCACACATTTTACATAGATAAAGCACTTCGTAATGCGCGATCTGTACTTGTGAGTACATTTTTTGTATTTCAAATATATATATATATATATATATGAAAAATTTAGGAGATCAGCCGATGACGCTACCTTGGTTTCAACCGTTCAGTATATTCAAGCGATCCGGGCTAAATAATTTCTTAACGCTTTATTTTTTAAAAATTAATTACCCTCGCAGCGCGAAGCGTAATAGAATTGGGGTGGGGGGGAGAAAAGCAAGGTTATTGAAATTGTATCGAAGAGGGTACATGAAATGTACATGCCATCCAGATTCTTATTTTCTTTATACGGGTATTGAAAACTTTTTAATACTACTGTTTCCTCGTCTAATTCAACTCTGAACAATAACTTTTCATAATTTTATACATATATATATATATATATATATATATTTTAAGACATTTTATGTTTATACATTCTTTTTATAGATACAAATATTTAAGTAAATGCTCTGTTTATAATAAACATTTACCGGCCTGAATGTCCGAGAAATTTTCACAGAAAATATTCGTCCTCCGACAGGATTCGAACCTGTATCCTATACGGAACCGTCATTTAGCTTGACGTGTCTTAACTTTTAAAATAATTGTCGGACTTTGTCCATTTCATAATGTGTGACGTCATTTGTTTATATTTGGATGCGCTTTGAGCAGATATGAATGTACGTGAGAGATTCATGGAAGATTGAAGTTTAAAGACAGTAAATTCGACCTTGCTAACCGAACGCTCCTCTGTGGCCAAGTCGGTTAAGGCACTGGAATTCGAATTCCTCAATCCAAGCCGTTATCCATTACTTCACCGTGCCTCTCTCTCTCTCTCTCTCTCTCTCTATATATATATATATATATAGAGAGAGAGAGAGAGAGAGAGAGAGAGAGAATTGTGCAGTATATATATTATATCATAAAGAAGTAATTATACAAAGAATTAATTAGCAATGTCAATGTGATTAATGGTGAAATCACTTCGCTAACAAGAGTTAATGAGTTATTAACTTACTATCAACTCCTTGAATAACAGGATCCTAATATTTGAATTGTTGTCAGATGGAATTTACAATCCTGGGCCGATTACTCTTTGTGTAATTACTTCTCATACAGTAAAACCCGTATCGGGAAGCAGAAACTCCATACCCACACCAAAACTTTAGCCTACATTTTCACTTTTCCATCTTAGATTAGATCCTAATTCCTGATTCGTCAAAAAAGACAGCACCCATTTAAAATTTTGAAATCTCATTCCCCTCCCTCTAACTTAAACTCTTAAATATAATATTACATTCCTCAAAAAGTAAATAATTTTTTTCTGATATTATTCAACATCTCTTGAAAATGGAACAAAAATTTTAATTTTAATTCTTAGTTGTGAAACAGTAATTTCTGTGTTGCGATGAAAACATTTTAAATAATATTATGCTCTAATCTATTATAGACAAGCGTATGGTTGCAAGAAAGAAATACGACAGCAGAAATAGATTTACGTGATTTATTTCAATAGGAACCTGTGGTTTGCGGACAGCTACCTTGTGGTATAGTTGCCGGTCCGATCTGGGTTGATCTCTCATAGTAGTTAGTGTGGCGCTCCTCCTTCTGACTGCTGCTGACCGCCGCTGACTGCCCAGACTGACCGTGACAGATCTCTTCCCTGGCCTCCTGTTGACTTCTCCGTGTGCCCCTTTTTATTGCGCTTTTTTATGGCTTAACAGGCTCGAAAAACGACGCGAGTATAATTAGGAGGGAAGCATTTTTATTGGTCGAAAAATAGAAACACTTTAAATATTATTTTATTTTTCGACCGGAACTCGTGCGTCGGGCCTATACGTAAACGGCGATAATGATCATTTTGTGACGGGGCCTTGTCCCGTTCACATCCGGCTCTCGCTCTTGAGTATGTTAGTTTATTTGCCTGCAAATCAGCCGATATATGTCTTATTTTATTTTATAAGATAGATATATATATGTGTGTGTGTGTGTGTGTGTGTGTGTGTGTGTGTGTGTGGCGTCCAAAAATGTACCCACTTTTTAACTTCGTTCTCTGTTTGAACTTCTAACTTTTAAACTAATTAAAATTGTTAATCTTCTTTGTAAGGTAATAAACATTAATATTTCTTAATTCGAACCATTCATCCTGTTTTACAAGTCAGTAAACACTGCGTTTATTGTCATTTATATCGTGAGTACATTTTGGGGGACACTCTGTATGTAATGAAATGAATTAAGTCCGATAATTATTTAATATGTTTTCTGTTTATGCTTTATTTTTTGTAAATACAATTTATTTAAATATTCTGTTTTTAATCAAATAGTATTAATTACATTCACCAGCCTGAATATCAGAGAAATTTCGCAAAAAAATATTCGTTTTTCGACAAGAATTGAAACTATATTCCGATACGGAAACCATCATTTGTTCTAACGTGCTATACCATTTAGCTACAGAGAAGCATCTGCTTAACAAAGTCCAAATTACTGTTTTTATAAATACACAATCTCCGACGACTTTTCTCGATCGATCATATCTGTTCACAAAACGTATCTTTTGTTTGTGTGTTGTGTGTGTGTGTGTGTGTGTACATATATATATATATATATATATATATATATATATATATATATATATATATAAAGAAAGAACAGTAAGATATATAATCCGGTGTTCTTATGGATATTTTTATTTTTACAAAATAGTGCTCAATGTAAATTTGTAGAGCATTAATATTATAAATTAATTGATTTAAAAAACATATTTTAAATTAATTTATTTATATATAATATATATATATATAATATATATATATATATTTATAATATATATATATATATATATATCATAAGTAAAGACAATCTTTAAAAATCCATTTCGGTTATAATTTATTTCATGAATATATTTATTTATTCATCCTTTCCTTATATTTATTATATATATATATATATATATATATATATATATATATATAAATATATTATGCATGATTTGTAATATGTGTGTGGATTTTATTTTAAAAGTATCATTATATTTAATTATTTGTCTTCATTTCAGTTGAACTGTGAAATAATTATTCGCTTATCAACTTGATCAGTGAGTCACGTCCTCATCAGAACCGAATTAATTCCGCTGTCACACGCTCACCGCCGCCATGTCAGCGTCCTCACCAACAAGCACGAATGCAGAAAGTTTAGAGAACCTAGACAAGTCCAAGAGATGCGCCAAACCAACACCGGAAATTGTCCTTGGACTCGAGACAGAAGACGGCGCATGCGCTGTTGTGGAGATTGATGACATTATTGACGACTCTTCTTTAGCACCGGAAGGTAAGGTTTTCTTTTTTTTTTTTTTTTTTTTTTCTGTTTCATTTAATTGAATAAACGGATAGATAATACATTACTGCCTGCAACAGACAAATCATCGAACACATTTACTAGTGCCAAAATGGCTGCTCAAAAATGATTTTTTTTTTTTTTTCTTCCTCTTATTATTCATGTCTTCTGTTCTTGTTTTCTCAGCATTCTTTTGGACGGCTATATTTCTCTCTCGACTCTCTTCCTCATCTGATAGGAATGTCAGGTGTTGGACGCGTGGGTGGTGCAAAGGATAACGACTCAGAATTTATAATCGGAGAGCCGAGTTCCAATTCCAGTTGGGTTCGTTATATTCAATTGAGAAAGGCATGAATCCACCTCTTTCCCCGTAGCTATGTGTTAGTTATTAAGATTTATATCACTAAACCATTATTATTCAAGTCCCCCACCCGCCCCCAAAAAATTCTAACATCTAAAAATATTTTCTGGATTTAAATAACCTGCAAAGGGTTGATAAGAAATAAAAAAGCCGAATCAATCATTTTCATCCGAGAGGAAATTGTCTAACACTGAGGCAAACAATGAAAATCGAACTCAATATTTGTTAACCAGGCTGCCGCAAGAGTCACTGAGGGTTACTGAACGTGGTTGTTATAACGGCGCAAAGAGACGAAGTAATAAGTGCATGTTGTAAGGATTTGTAGGATAGATAACTAGAAGTTGTTAAGTTCATAGTGATCGGGGAAGCATGTGTCCCTGAGGAACTAGAACAGTCTACCCCAGTGAGCGAAATAAAGGGTTCAGTTCGAAATTCCAACCACCTGAAGAAGGCCGGAGCGTACAACGGCCGAAACGTTGTGATAAATATGGCGACAAAGATGAGGACAATAGTCTGGATAATGTAAATAATGTACATAATACCTCATCTCAGAAATATAGACTGAATCTGATTTAGGATACGATTTTTTTTAATTTCTGGCACTTTATTTGAAATTTCTATGAATTCCTCCCGCCATTAACAGTTGCATAAGTTTTTTTTTATGACGTCAACGAACACACATTGCACATTTTTGTGATGTCAACGAATACACCTTGTCACTTCGTAATGCTCGTGGTAGAAGAGATTTTGTAAGGACAGATACAACTATAGTAACGCAGTTGAAACAATACTGGTGTCAGACGCCTTCGAATATCAGTCGCACTAATAGTACTTACTCGATAATATTCGCTCGAAAGTAACCACCGTATAGCAATCCGTATAAAAATAGAGGATAAACTAGAAATGGTGATCAGTTAGACGTCATGCAACCTCCTATTTATGCGTTTCCTCTATGGTCACGTGGTCTACTTAATTCAATAATGGGATCGCCTGTGTTTGCTCATTGACGATCTATGTTCAAACTCAAGTGTCGGCAGCGACACTTTATTCCTATATAACAGTTTTTAATCAAATTTGTCTTTTCATAATAAATTTTTTGTCGATAATTTAGTTTTTAAAGGATGACCGACTGCCTACCTCACGTAATTACTTATATCACGCGCATGGCGTGCGTGTGAAGGTGAGGGGCGGGGATCGTGATTGCTATCACTTGAGAAGTGGAAGTAAATAATAATAATAATAATAGTCTGTTATTCTAATTACTGCTTGTGTCTTTGCCATCTGGACAATCATTTTTCGCTTTTGTTTATTCTTTCAGATCTCGAGAATTCGCATCTTTTTCTCCATTTTCTTCTTTTCTTTCTCTCTACACCCACCCCACCACCAAGAATTCCGTAAGAGTCCAACAGAAGCGAATGATTGAGTGTGTGGTTTTGCTTTGCGAACAAAGATTTTGGGTTTGTTCTTTCACCTCTGCTGCAGACTCTCAGGTGATTAACGATGCCTATAAGAGAGAAGCATGCTTAAAACACGTCGGCTGCAGTAGAGGATCTGGTAGCTGGCGGAGACTCTGGGCTTGCAAACCGCCACTTTTGTTAGATTCTGTTCTTGTTATTAGACCAAGCGCTTGCATATCACATTGTCGTCTAATGGGCGTATATTTGCATATAAAAAGGTGTGGACGGCCTGCACGAAACCTTCACCACGATAATCAAATCTCATGTGCTGTTGTCGGGCTGTCGGTTTCCTGGGAACTGATCTGCTTGACCCTCATACGTCGAATTCGACGGAAGAGAGTCGAGTAGAGTATATATGTTCCGATATTGTACAACCGTCAATAAATAGCACATTCTTAAAAAAACATCTTTCGGTCTACAAACAATTATTTCGTCTTCAAGTTTTAACTTTAAAGGAAAAAATTACAGCCTGAGGATAGAGACGTGGTCTTCGAAAGTACTTGCTTAACTTAAAAGAAATATACACTAGAAACATCTGACAACAGTTTTATAAATGAGGATCACATCATTCAATGGATTAACAGTATTTTAATGCATACATTATGTTCTACTAGCGAAGTGATTTCACCATTAATCGCATTAATTTTGCTGATTGATTCTATGTTTGATTATATATATATATATATATATATATATATAGTATAGTATAGTATAGTATAGCTGGTCACTCGTATTCGAGGATACCCGTCTTCTAGGGCAGCTAACCAATCCCTATTGCAGATGCCTTCTCAGTCGCGTTTGTGTTTATTCAACACCCACAGAGCCCACCTGTGGTTTATACTGCATCTATGCTGAGCAGACATTAGTTACAGTTTCTAGCGTGATATCTAGCGTGATCAACTTTTTGAACAAGACCAGCACGATAAAGCGCTCGGCCACAATGACTTGTGACTTCGTGCTAGCAGAACTATCGACGGCCCCCAAAGGTTCCGTCGACCGAATTTCATTCACAAGGCTTGTATCAACCCGTGGGGTATGGTTTTCAGGCACTTTCCAAAAGTATCGCACGCTGGGATCGACCCCTCCAGTTCGATAACATCAGCTAGCCTCCTTCCTGACAAATCGACTATGATGAGTTTTGAACCCGGGTCTCATGGTCAGAATGCGAACATTCTAACATGTTGTGCCCATATATATATATATATATATATATATATATATATATATATATATATATTCGCAAATTAACATGTGAAAGAACAACAAACACGATGTTTGCTAGCCATACACACTTACAAATATAGATTAGTATCTGAATGCCACATAGACAAACTAGAATTATTATGCACTTACATACATAAAGCAATATTTATGGTTTCTGAGTTAGTCTTGAAATCCGTTAATTTCTTTTGTACTTCAAATGGACGTGTCGTCTCTCCTTGAATGTGGAACGCCACAAATTATACTAACTTTTGTTTAACAAGTCGAATGTACGTGAAGCCTGATTAACCAATGAAAATCAAACGTAAAGTAGAAATACTAGAATTTATTTCTTCTTTTCATCTGTCTCATTCTCTGATGAAGTTGTAATAAGAGTGAAACATGTTAGATCTGTAAACGTTTCCTGTTTATCTATCTTATTTTATTCATATATATCAATATATCTTGCCAAAACTTAATCATATCTATCTATCTATCTATCTATCTATCTATCTGTCTGTCTCTCTATCTATCTATCTATCTATCTTAGTTTATTCATATATGTCTATATTTGCTTAACTTATTCATATCTATCTATCTATCTATCTATCTCTCTCTCTCTCTCTATCTATCTATCTATCTATCTATCTATCTTAGTTTATTCATATATGTCTATATTTGTTAACTTATTCATATATCTATCTATATTCTGTCTGTCTTATTCATATCTATCTATATATATATATATATCTCTATGTGTTTTGTCTATGTGTCATCTATCTATCTTAGTTTATTCATATATGTCTATATTTGCTTAACTTATTCATATCTATCTATCTATCTATCTGTCTGTCTGTCTGTCTGTCTCTCTCTCTATCTATCTATCTATCTATCTATCTTAGTTTATTCATATAGGTTTATATTTGCTTAACTTATTCATATCTATCTATCTATATATATATATATATGTGTGTGTGTGTGTGTCTGTCTGTCTGTCTTTCTATCTATCTATCTATCTATCTATCTATCTATCTATCTTAGTTTATTCATATATGTCTATATTTGCTTAACTTATTCATATCTATCTATATATAACATACCCAAATTCGTCCCAAATCAACATGCGAAAAAACACCAAACACAATGTGTACAACTACTACTACTACTACTACACACATACACGAACACACACACACACACACACACGAATATACATTATTATCTGAATCCCACATAGACAAAGTAAAATTATTATACTACTTACATACATAAGGCAATATTTACGGTTTTTATAGTTAGGCTTGGAATCTGTTAATTTCTTGGAACTTCAAATGGACGCATCGTCTCTCCTTGAATTCAGAACACCGCAAATTACGCTAGCGTTTGTTTAACAAGTCGAATGAACATGAAACCTGATTAACCAATTAAAATCAAACAGCACAAAAGTAAAAATACCAGAATTTCTTTCTTCTTTTTCAACATATCACAGTCTCTGACGAAGCTTTAATAAAAGTGAAACATTTTAGATTGATAAACGTTTCCGATTTGTTCTTTAGCCATATCTTTCTGTCGGATTCCGATCAATATTTGATCTATATTTCATCCCAACTCATAGATAGATAGATAGATAGATAGATAGATAGATAGATAGATATGAATAAACTGAGATAGACAGATAGATAATGAAGAGACTGAGATAGATAGATAGATAGATAGATAGATAGATAGATAGATAGATAGATAGATAGATAGATGAAGCTTAAATAAAAGCGAAACATTTTAGATTGATAAACGTTTCCGATTTCTTCTTTATCTTATCATTCTGTCGGATTTTGATCCGTATTTGATCCCAACTCATAGTGTTTGATTAAATAGAGCAAGTAAGAAAACTTTTATAAATTGAACATGTTTTGCTACTTATTTAACTTCATCAGAATATTTTGAGAATGGGATAATGCGGAGCTGTTTCAATTTTTAAATTAGATTTGGCTTTCTTTTCACTGGTTGGATAGATATGACGTGTTATCCCATTCCCCACCCTCAAATTCTGAAGCTAAATAAATAGCGAAACATGTTCAATTTATAAAGGTTTTCCTTCTTGTTCCTTATTTAATAATTTTGTTTAACTTAACCCATATCTTCGGTTTATATCTATATTCATATATATATATATATATATATATATATATATATATATATATATATTGTGTATATTTTTTTAATCATATCACCCTATGCAAGGCAGTGAAGTCACTGAGTGTCGAAGAACAAAAAATGAGAAGCTTAGGGATCGAGAAAAATAGAAAACTAATCAAGACATTGTATTTAAATTCTTGAAGATCAAAGTTGGCCAGGAAGCATGGAGCCAGAAGAGAGTTCCATAAACGAGAAGTACGAGAAAAAAAACCTGATAACATAGAACTCACGTTTACATCTAATTCCACTGTGAATAGATGAGACCTATCTGCCAATCTAGTACTGCGCTTCATTCATAAAGTCTAGGTACCATAGCGAAGAGTTCATCCGAACAATTACCATGAAAGTGTTTATAGAAAAGGCACAGGGGAGAAACTTTACGGCGGTGGGAAAGTGACTGAAGCCGAGATGCCAGGTCAGGACCAATAATATTGCTGATTCTTCTTTGTATTTTGTCAAGAATCTTTAAATCTACAGCGGGAGCATTGGTCCAGATGTGGCAGCAATATTCAAAGCATGAACGGAGGGTAGACTTATAAATATGCAAGATAGATTCTGGAGAGAAAAAATGTCTAGCACGACCCAATGACCCAACTTTCTTAGCAGTAGACCTAGCAATGGTTTTGGTATATAGGAATAAAATGTTACTGCCGACACCTGAATTTGAACATAGATCGCCAGTGAGCAAACACAGGCGATCCCATTATTGAATTAAGTGATCAATTGACCATAGAGGAAACACATGTATGTAGGAAATAGCTGACGACTAACAATCACTGTTTCTAGTCTATCCGCTATTAATATACGGATCGCTAGTTCTGGTCTATCCTCTATACTATACTGATCGCTATTTCTACTTTATCCTCTATTACTACACGGACCGTTATTCTCTACTCTATTCACTATACTATTCCTCTATACTGATCACTATTCGGATTACTATTCGAGCGTGTATTATCGAGCAAGTACTATTAGTTTCAGTGCTATTCGAAGGCGTTTGACACCAGCATTGTTCAACGACGTACTATAGTGGTATCTGCGATTACAAAGTCTCTACTACAACGAGCATTACGAAAGTAACAACGAGTATTCGTTGATATCACAAAAAGGTTTCAATATAGAATTTCTATTTCATATCATGAATGTTAGACCACGAAGGCACAACGAGTCACTTTCATATTGTTTAGCATTCACTAATGTGCAGTAGATCTATAGATATTGTTTAAAATGTGGTGTATTTAGGGGATGGGGGTCGAGTACTCAATATCGGAGAAGTAGAAAATGTGGCCATATAAATCAACATTGCATGGTGACTGTCTGTTTTACGTCTGGGTGGTCATTTAATGATAAATGTAAACATAATCTGTCTATATTTCTGAGATGAGGTATTATGTACATTATTTACATTATTCGGACTATTGTCCTCATCTTTGTCGCCATATTTATTACAACATTTCGGCCTTTCAGTATCTGTCTATATTTCTGAGATGAGGTATTATGTACATTATTTACATTATTCGGACTATTGTCCTCATCTTTGTCGCCATATTTATTACAACATTTCGGCCTTTCAGTATCTGTCTATATTTCTGAGATGAGATATTATGTACATTATTTACATTATTCGGACTATTGTCCTCATCTTTGTTGCCATATTTATTACAACATTTCGGCCTTTCAGTATCTGTCTATATTTCTGAGATGAGGTATTATGTACATTATTTACATTATTCGGACTATTGTCCTCATCTTTGTCGCCATATTTATTACAACATTTCGGCCTTTCAGTATCTGTCTATATTTCTGAGATGAGGTATTATGTACATTATTTACATTATTCGGACTATTGTCCTCATCTTTGTTGCCATATTTATTACAACATTTCGGCTTTTCAGTATCTGTCTATATTTCTGAGAGATGTACATTATTTACATTATTCGGACTATTGTCCTCATCTTTGTCGCCATATTTATTACAACATTTATTTACTGAGATTACATTATTCGGACTATTGTCCTCATCTTTGTCGCCATATTTATTACAACATTTCGGCCTTTCAGTATCTGTCTATATTTCTGAGATGAGGTATTATGTACATTATTTACATTATTCGGACTATTGTCCTCATCTTTGTTGCCATTTTATTACAACATTTCGGCCTTTCAGTATCTGTCTATATTTCTGAGATGAGGTATTATGTACATTATTTACATTATTCGGACTATTGTCCTCATCTTTGTTGCCATATTTATTACAACATTTCGGCCTTTCAGTATCTGTCTATATTTCTGAGATGAGGTATTATGTACATTATTTACATTATTCGGACTATTGTCCTCATCTTTGTCGCCATATTCATTGCAACGTTTCGGTCGAACTTAACCCTTTATTTCTCTCATGATGGATGTCAGTTATCTCCTGTTAAATTCTGAGTTCTCCACTGCCTTAACCAGGTATTGAACTCACATTCTTCTGGATCTAACTAACGCCTGGGTATGAATTTCTGGGTATTATAAACCTAATGTCTTCAGCAACCATTTTTACCAGTGCTCATATTGCAATTTTGCTGTTATCATTGCATGTTTTTACTAGAGCTCATATTGCAACTTTGTTGTTATCATTGTTTTTCTCTGGCACTCCTAATTACTGGTTCCCATATTGTATTTATTTCTATTCTTGGTCGGCTCAGGAGATTTTTGTGGCCTAGCATATGTGCTGATTCCTTAAGTTTACGAATTTTCCACTGGTGTTCCTTGTCTATGATCTCAGCATGATCACACAGAGGGCGGTGATCTCCCTTCTCTCTCCATATGTGGTCTGCCACGCCTGATTTTTCCACTTCCCCTCGTGTTACAGCTTTCTGATGTTCTTGAAGCCTTACCTTGAGGGGGGTGCTGTCTATATTCCTTTCCGCAGTGGCACGGAATAGCGTACACACAGTCTTTAGTCATGTTCACCTCTATGGGGGGGTCTTACTCGGGAGAGATATCTGCGAAGTGTCGTCAAACTTTTGAAGGTTGTCCTGATGTTATATGGACCGCAGATCCTTTGTATTTTCTCTGATAACCCCTTCACATAAGGAAGGCAGACTGTTTTCTGAGTGTTGTTGTCCTCCTCCTCTTGTACCCGCCTATCCCAGTAATTGCTTCTTCAAATATATTATTCTATAAGGAACTTAGCAACATTAAACAAATTCTAATCAACAATAATTTCCCTAATCACATCATCGACAAACAAATAAAATTAGCCTTAATGAAATTTAGAAAAAAATGAAGCTAAGCCCCTCCCTGAGATAAACAAAAATAAACACACCATTAACTTATTCTATTATAACCAAATGAACCCTAATTATAAGAAGGCCAAAAAGCAGTTAAAAACACAATTCACTGGCACATATCACTCAATGATCCTGACATGCACCTAAGACTTATTATCTACTACAAAATGTTTAAAACATCTAACTTACCAACAATAGCAGGCTTTATAAGTAGGTAGAAATAATGTTGTCTATGAATTGAATTCTCATATCCACTGGGAGATTGCATCTCCAACACTAATAATCAAAAAACAACGTTCATTTGACATTACCTGCCCTCTGTCGAAACTCGGTTCAATCCATGCACACATTGACCAACACATGATGAACTACCAAAGTGCAACTATCAACATCAGACAAATACTAGTAGATAAAACAAAATTAAACCTAATCCACCCAATGC